AAGCTTAAGAACTTATAAAGTACATGCATGATGTCCGTCTTGCCGCTGAACGGGGTTCTGGTCTCTGGTGGGCAAAGTATGACGAGCAATACAGACTCCGGAAAGTTAGGCACACTCACACATCTTAGGGGGTCTTGGATCATGAACTTTGGCTAATGTTTGTGGCCGCAAGTCAGAATCAGTCATATAATCAAAGTCAAGGGTCCCATGGCCAGTATTCTAAAGGTCAAAGGGCGGTAACTCCCACTTACAAGGATCAAAATTTTCAAAAAGGGGTTAAACCAGTCTGCTGGGCCTATGACAAGGGTGAGAAATGTCGATTCGGCTACAAGTGCCGCTTTAGTCGCACTTGTTCAGAATGTGGCAGTACCCATCCGGGTGCAAAGTGTACCAAATAGATTAAAATCTGAGGGCAATTTACATGTATTGTCTCCTTTACCAATTTTGGCCAAAACACCCATTAAAGTGAACATGATGGAACATTCTCTGAGAAATTATCCTTTACAAGACAAAGCACAGGAGGTAGTCAGGGGATTTAAATTTGGGTTCAAACTCCAGTATAGTGGCCTACGGGTCCCAATTTTTTCTAACAATCTTAAAAGTGTCAAGGAGGCCCCGGAAGTGCTGAGAGGGAAACTTCAAAAAGAATTATCTCTGGGACGTATAGCTGGGCCAGTTCACTCATCCAACATCCCGTATTTCGCCCTTGGGTCTGGTTCCTAAAAAGGACAATGATTTTAGGGTCATTCATCACCTGTCGCACCCTGCTGGAAGGTCGGTGAACGACTTTATTGATAATGAACTTATTCCCGTGCATTACAGCCCGATAGATTATGCGGTTAGCATGATTCAGAGACTAGGGCGGGGTTCTTTATTGGCCAAATCAGATATTAAGTCTGCCTTTAGGCTACTACCCATTTGGCCGGCGGATTTTGACCAGTTAGGTTTGTGTTTTGAGGATAATTTCTACTTTGACAAATACCACCCCATGGGAGCCTCAATTAATTGTGCTTTATTTGAGAAATTTGCCACAGCCCCTATTGGTTTAGTACTTCAAGGAGTCTTTATTCAAATCTTTTGCATTATTTAGATGACTTCTTAATGGGTGGGGAAAACAATTCAGAACAGTGTGCTCATTCTTTGAAAACAGTTCAAGACTCTTGTGCGTTATGTGGTGTTCCCTTGGCACAGGAGAAAACTGTGGGCTCTTCACAGGTACTCACATTTTTGGGACTATTCTATTGCAAATGCGGCTCTCTGCTGATAAACTAAATCAATTAAGGGCTTATTTGGTCAATGTAATGGGTAAGGTGAAAGCTACCTTAAGGGACTAGCAGTCTTTAATCGGATCCTTGAATTTTGCTTGCCAAGTGGTGGCCCCTGACAGGCCTTTTTCCCGCAGACTTATTGACGCAACAATTTCAGTTAAAAAAACTCATCACAAGATTAGGGTTACCCGAGAGATGAGTGAGAGGTTGTGGTATGTATTCCTGTCAGATTATAATGGGGTTACCTTGATGCGTGATCGTGTCTGGACATCGAACACGACATTACAGATGTATACCGATAGCGCTGGGGGTCTGCACGGGGGTTTCGGCGCATATTTCCACGGTCACTGGGCGCAGGGGTGTTGGCCCAGAGAATGGGACATTCATCAGGGTATTTTAACTAATATTACATTCCTGGAATTATTCCCAGTTGTTGTTGCACTCAATTTATGGGGTCATTTTCTGAGAAATAAGAAAATTTTATTTCATGTAGAAAATCAGACTGTTGTCGTTATTATAAACAAAAAATCGTTAAAATCTCCCCGTGTTATGGTTCTAGTAAGGAAATTGGAATTGATGTCCCTAAATCTCAATATTTTAATGAAAGCTGAGCACATTCCTGGTAGAGAAAATGTAATCGCTGACTCTCTTTCCCGTTGTGATTGGCAGCGCTTCAGGAGAGTGGCTCCCACAGCGGACCAGCATCCAACTCCAATACCAGACCATATATGGGCGATCTAGAGAGTGAAGCACGTTTGCTCGTCCAGTTTTCTCTAGCTCCCAAATCTAGGGCAACGTAAAAAACAGCAGTATAGTCTTTTCGTAAATTTCGGTCACAGTATAGCTTGAGCGATATTTGGCCAGCTCCTATAGACCAATTACAACAGTTTATAGCTTACTTGTCATATACTGGCATGTCGGCATCCACAGTAGCAACATGCATATCAGGCTTGAGCTATGCACACAAAATTGAAAATTTGCCTGACCACACAAAATCATTTTTGGTAAGCAAGATGACTGAAGGAATGCGTGGAAAAAATCGGAGGTCTGATCTTCTAACACCCTTCACCTCCACTCTGCTAAGGAAATTGGTAAATTCCCTGAGTAGCATTTGCCAGTCAAGTTACGAAGCTACTTTATTTGCTTCTGCATTTAGTTTGGCATTTTTTGCACTCTTACGAGTTGGTGAATTGACAGCTGATAGCAAGCATGAACGAGGTCGCCATGCCATTTGTGTTTAAGATGTTTCAATACAATTACTTGGTAGAGATTTGGAATTACATGTTCGCCTGGCTTCTTCAAAAACTAATCAATTGGGAACTTCGACAACTTTTATTTTGTCCCATCAGTCTGATCCTCAGATTTGTCCCCTTAGGCTCATGCAAAATTCTTGCGAATCAGAAGTCGAGCACTTTGCTCACAGTTATATATACATTATGACGGTACCCCCTTGACCAGGTACCAATTTGGTTCTGTTTAACAGAAAGTATTAATGTTCTGTGGGGGGCATCAACAAAAATGGCATTATCGTTCCCATTCATTTCGTATAGGTGGGGCTACAAAATTAGCCACGATTATCAGATTACAATTTTGAGCTCCCATACAGTTAATATTGTTACTGTTTATGCTCGGTTAATGATGAATTTTTAATATTGCATTATACGTTTCAGGAGGCAAGATTTTGTGCATTGGCTGCTCGTCCATTATATTCTGGGCACATAGGGCAGTTGGCTCAAGATTAGGAGCTCCTTACCTGGGGCTGGTGGGACACGAGTTTGATTGGCGGGGGAAAAGGGGCATGAGTTGGGATCAGTTCAGCACAACATTGGAGGTCTTCTTAAAAAAGAATTCCCTTCCATCCTGGGTATTTATTCAATTGGGTTCCAATGACCTTGGGGTCATCAAGGGCAAGGAACTTATTAAACAGATCAAGTGTGACCTCCTTCGCCTTTTGGCCCTGGTACCAGGTGTCAATGTTGTATGGAGCGACCTCCTGCCTAGGCGGTATTGGCATTTTGTCTCCAGTCCTCGTGCCTTGGAAAAGGTTAGGCGTAGAGTTAATACAGCTGTAAGAAATTTTGTGGTTCGGGAGGAGGGGGTTAGCTATCCGACACACCTGTATTACAGATAAGGAGTTTCATCTTTATCGGTAAGATGGAGTTCATCTGTCTGGACTTGGCAACCAGATATACCTCAATAATTTACTGTTTTTTTAATATTTTCTTTCATCAGGTCATTACATCTTCCCACCCACTGATGCCTCCTCCTCTCGGCATTAAGTGTGACCTAGGGCTAATTGTTCAGTTCAATTGGTAGGAGTTCTCTCCCTTAGCCCGTAAAAATATTTTGAACATTATAATGTGTGCACAGGGTAATTTAGGTTAGCCTGACAGTCATTTAAACATATCATTCTAATATGTGGCGGTGAGTGGGTTTAGTGACCCCCTCATGTGGAGGATGGCTGACAGGCTAATTCCAAAGGTTGTGATTTCTTTATCATATATCAGCTCATATATGGGAAGTACACCTACACTGTGGTACCACAGGGTAGGCAATGGTAGACCATCTCATGTAAACCGGAATGGTCAGTTCTTAACTGTATACCAGTTCGAGCTATTTTGTCCCCAGAATAAACCGGGGACAGGTGTTTTAAATATATTTAATAATACAAATTATAATATATCGGCTCATGTATTATAGAAATAACACCTAGTTTTCTCTATTGGTGGGTTTACATAGAGAAACCGAGACTGGCAGTGTTACCACTGGGCCACTAACATGCCAGTTTAAATTTCGGCGGTTAGTTTTAGTCTGTCAGTCACCGAAAAAATGGGGGAGGGGGGGTCCTTTATATAATCTGTGAATTTGTAGTATTTCGTGAATCGTAACTGCGGCCAGAAATTCTCCATGTCTACAGTGTAGTTTGGTGTTTGTGTTATTTTGTTATGAATCTTTGACTAAGTGACAATTTAAATGGAGGCTTTGCTAATGGTGAAATAGCTTAAAAGGAAAGTAAGAAATAGGCGTTTGACACTATTAACCGGAGTTTCCTGATACGGAGTCTTGGTTTTGGAGAATATATTGTATAGCCTGTAGAAGAACTGGACAAGGAAGCATCACATAATATGTCAAAAAAGATTATTGACTACCTGTACCGTATGTCATTCAGGAAGTTATTAAGATAAAGGCACAGAAAGCTCTCAAAACTATTTCGTAAATATGAGGATGTTAAACACGCTTTATCGGCAGTACTGTAAAGAAGGACAAATGTGTAGAAAGTTTGGCTTTGGAGATAAAATAAACAAAGGAAAGAAACAATGAGAATGACTTTATCAATGAAAGAGGTGAAACTTTTTGAAATACCATTTGGACAGAATAACGATTATTTATTCACTCATTTATTTATTTATTGGGTGTTTAAAATTGCGTGTTATGCCCTGGGAAAATACATAGAATGTTATAAGGCTAAGCTCGCGTAAAGCATGATATATAAACATATTTGGGATTACAAGGTTGAAAAAGTAAATTAAAAGTATTGATTTATTATTCTATTTTAAAAGTGATGCTATATCGCAAACACACTAACATTTATGAGCAATGAGTAATACAATATACATGCTAAATGACGTGCCAATTTTAGTTTCAAGCACTTGAAGATATAAAAAAAAGTCCTTTAGAGTCCCATAAAACTGTGTTTGGCATGTTACTTTAAGTTGTTAGGTATCGTTAGCTAACAGCAGGATTGATAAATGTGAAGTATTTACAGGAAATCGATTGGCCTTTATCGCGACTACTCCCCGAGTCCGACTACTTGTACCACCTGACTGATAAGCGGATACAATGGCCGATATATTGATATAGCTCATCGGGACACACACCTTGAGAAACAGTTTTGTTCGAGAACGAAGTCTGACACCTAGATGGCCCGCTGACTGTCCTGTAGCTGTCCACGTCTCCTTCAGGTAGGTACTGGTACCAATGTCGGGGAAACCACAAACTAGTGTCATTTTGTGTACAGTCATATGAGGTGTTGTTGTGAATTATATAAGTGGTGCATATCAGATGATATCGTATATCGTGTCCCATACCACTACCACTATCAGCTTGTCTCTCCTAGCTTATTATTTACATACCTGGCCTAGTATGGCTGGTACAGGGCTGCACATTTCTGAAATAATTAATTATTAAGATAATAGTTTACAAATCAGTGTCTACAAAAATAGCTCAGTTTTTCGAAGCAATAATTTGTTTAATTTAAGTGTACTTTTTTATTTTATTTACTATGAACTTGAAAATGAGGGGTTAATGTATATAATAAATGTTAATCACATTCTTGAATTAACGTTATTAATGTCAATCACATTGATATGCTATGTTTTGATGTTCTTGCAGTATATCACCGACTTTTCTACTTGTGATGATATCTTTTATACAGACACAAGTATATTTAATCACGGAAAATTAATCTTCAGTATGTTATTTTCTTTATTTTACGAATAAGAAACATAAATATGGATTTTTAATCAATTTAAATAAGGCTTAATTACCTGATAATGTGTTACTATGCCTACCTTGGTTAACTATTCACATTTCAGTTAATAGTAAGACATCTTGTGAGTGTAATTGCCACAACCTTTTACAAGTACATTGTTATAACGTGAAATAAGAAAATGTAATGGTGTTTGTGTCATGTAATCTCCAAGGTCGAGTCGGGTATACCCGTTATCTCTACCAGGAAGAGACCGCTATAAACTAAAACAAACCGATAACATTATTTGTTAGTTATATCGGCACATATTTGCTTGAATATTATAAAAGCTATCCATTATTTCATACACGTATATATTAAATTGATATTACCATGTCAAGAGAAGAATGGTATTTTGCTATACTTATAATGTTGATTTTGCTATTTGAATAAACACAGACATATAGCCTTAGTAATTACAACATGTATATAACTAACATACATACAAACAAATATCATATACCAAGTTAACATAGATATGTCTCATAGGCTAAGTTATTACAACACATACATAACTTACATATATACAGACAAATATCATAACTTTTGTTATCTTTGATACAGTATGTAGCATAGGCTAAGTTATAACAGCACGTACATAACTAACATACGTTGTATGTACAGACAAATATCATATCTCCAGTTATCATAGATAGGTCTGATAGGCTAAGCTATAACAAAATCTAAAATTAACATATATACAGACAAATATTATATCTTCAGTTATCTTAGATAGGTCTGATAGGCTATGTTATAACAAAACCTATAATTAACATATATACAGATACAAACCATATCTCCAGTTATCATAGGTAAGTCTGATAGGCTAAGTTATAACAATACCTATAATTAACATATATACAGATAAATATTATATCTCCAGTTATCATAGATAGGTCTAATAGGATAAGTAATTACAATACATTCATAACTTACTTATGTACAGACAAATAGTATATCTCCAGTTATCATAGATATGTCTGATAGACTAAGTTATAACAAAACCTAAAATTAACATATATACAGACAAATATTATATCTTCAGTTGTCATAGATAGGTCGGATAGGCTTAGTTATAACAAAACCTAAAATTAACATATATACAGACAAATATTATATCTTCAGTTGTCATAGATAGGTCTGATAGGCTAAGTTATACAAACCTATAATTAACATATATACAGATAAATATCATATCTCCAGTTATCATAGATAGGTCTGATAGGCTAAGTTATTACAACACATACATAACTTACTTATATACAGTCAAATATTATATCTCCAGTTATCATAGATATGTCTGATAGGATAAGTTATAACAAAACAAAACCGGGGGGTCAAGGTTACCGAGGACCTGAGCAGTCGGACTTCACACCGGTCTCCACAAAACTTACGTTTTGTGCATATTATGCAGAATTTTCCGGTAAAAACTTTGGATATGACATTTGTCTTACAATAGGAAACGTATAATGAGCTTTGGATGTATGAAGTAGAATGGTTTTACAGTGAAATAGACAAGGTTTTTTTTCACGTAACAAAGACTGTTCTCGATATGCTTGAGTGACCAAGGTGGTGACCACTGTCAACGCATGTACACATACCCGTTTTGAAGACGTATAGGTAATCTAGCTATACACCTGTGGGTACCTGAACACGAGCTAATAGTACAAGTGAACTATAAAATATACACCGTGGACTATGCCGTCATCTCGGAGTACCAGTACAAGTGCCAGCGCTAAAGTGAAAAATAGATTGAGTGATTTTTCGTGTAACACTACAGAGATGGAGGACAAGTAAGACCAAATAAACAAGACACTTCTCACTTTGATGACAAGGGAGGATATGGTGTTCCAGATGAACAAACTCAAAGAGGAAATAAGACACGAAAACAAAGAAATAGTAGAAAGATTAGAAGGACGAATGTTTGACTTGGAAACAGAAAATGAAGATTTAAAAGAGACAATATCGTAATTAGAAAAGCAAGTGATCGACACAGAAGAGAGACAGAATGAATTATATCATCTACACAACGACCTGGAGCAGCAAGGAAGAAAGAACTCTATCCGAATTTTAGGACTGGAGGACATTGATAGAAACGAAAATATGGAGGAGTGTGTCACAAAAGTTGTGAAGTTTGTGAACGAAGACCTGAAAGTGAAAGTTCTAAGTGAGGACATAGATACCGCACACAGACTTGGTCCTTTCGTCAGTAGAAGACCGCGTGCGATTATTTGCAAATTCACTAACAGGAGGAAAAAGTTTGAAGTGCTGCAGGCTAGGAAAGTACTGAAGAATTCTGGTAGACATGTGTTTGAGGATCTGACGCGACAAAATCAACAAACTCTTACGCACGCATACAAACTAGACTGTGTACAGCATTCGTGGAGTGTGGATGGCAAACTGTTCGTGAAACTGAAAAACGGTAAGAAAAGGCGGCTATTCAGAGAGACAAAGTTGACAGAGTCCTATTTGACAAACGATGCTAATTTCTAGCCATGCAATAAGTGATATGAACATTTAAAACTAATAATGAAATATGTGTGAACAAACCTTACTTTATGACAATATTTATATGTTTTTATATTAATTTCCGGAAAAAAAATACCGTTTCGTTTCCTTTCTATTCTAATTATAAGAGATGTCTGTACTTCCGGTTTTGTGTGTTTACATCCTGTTACATGGTGCGTGTGTTGATGGTGGTTCGCTAAATGTATTGACCTGATTAGGTATGTTTTACTTTTTCTTCCTTTTAATGTCATTTTTCTATTTTCCTCCTACTCTTTATCCTTTTCTCTTTCCTTCTTCGTTGTTGGGTGCGGAGGGCGATTGGTTTCAAGACATTTGTTTATTACTGCTATATGGAAGGAATTAGGATAGTCTCGGCGAATTGTCAGGGTTTAGGGGATAAGAACAAAAGGAAAGATGTATTTAAGTACCTGAGGGAAAAATATTTTAACATTTACTGTCTACAAGACACACACTTCACTCCAGATATTGAAGATATAGTAAGATCAGAATGGGGATTAGAGTGCTACTTCAACTCATTGCGATCGAATTCACGGGGTGTTTTAATAGTATTTAACAATAATTTTGAAGTGAAAGTAACCAAGGAAAAGAAAGACTCGACGGGATTTTTTTTAGCTTTGCAAGTAGAAATAGAAGGTAAGTGTATAACACTGATAACAGTCTATGGACCAAATTCTGACACACCTACTTTCTATGACAATATAATAGAAACTATTAGTGATTTTAATAATGAATATTTTATAATATGTGGGATTTCAATTTAGTGCTTAATCCTGAAAAAGACTATGATAAAAGTTATAAACATATTAACAACCCAAAAGCTAGAGACAAACTAAATGAAATAGTTGCAGATTTTGGAATGGTAGATATTTATAGAGAACAACATCCTGAGCAAAAAAGATATACTTGGAGAAGATGTAATCCTACGAAACAGGCACGTTTAGACTTTTTCTCATATCAGAAAATTTATTACCAAGTGTACATAATTCTACTATCGATCCAGGATATAGGTCTGATCATTCAATGCCAATAATTTCTTTAATTTTTAATGAATTCAAAAAAGGTAAAGGGCTATGGAAATTTAATTCTTCTCTTTTACATGAAATAGATTATCTTGAAATTGTCAAGAAAACTATCATAGATGTCAAAATACAATATGCACTTCCAATATACAACCTAAATAATATAAATATAATTCATGACTCAGAAATTATGTTTCAAATAAATGACCAGTTGTTTTTAGAAACTCTCCTAATGGAAATTAGAGGTAAAACCATTTCATACTCTTCTTATAAAAAAAAGCAACAAAATTTAACAGAAAAAAAACTTATAGATACAATTAAAAATTTAGAAGACAGTGAAAATATTGATTTCATTGAATTAAATGAGAAGAAACAAGAATTGGAAAAAATCAGACTAAAAAGATTGAAAGGTAGTATTATCAGGTCCAAAGTAAAATGGGTGGAAGAAGGGGAGAAACCTACTAAGTATTTTTTTAACTTAGAAAATAGAAATTACACCTCAAAAATAATCCCAAAGATAGAAAAAGACAATGGTGATATAATATCGAAACAAGAAGAAATTCTAAGTGAAGTTCAACTATTCTATGAAAAATTATATACTATAGATGATGAAATAGAAGAAGCTAATTTAGAAGAATTTTTAGTAGATTGTGAAATTCCAAGGCTGAATAGGTCAGAAGCATTAAGTTTAGAGGGCAAAATTACTGTACAGGAAGCAGCACTAATTATGAGAAATATGAAAAATAACAAAAGTCCAGGCTCAGACGGTTTTACAGTAGAATTTTTTAAATGCTTTTGGAAACAGTTAAGTAACTTTATAGTACGGTCTATCAATTTTGGTTATATAAAAGGACAATTATCTGTTACCCAAAGACAAGGAATCATA